CCGTGGAACAGTGGACCAGCTCTATACTCTCGGCAGGGTCCTGGAGGGTGCGTGAGAGTTTGCCCAACCAGTCTACATGTGCTTTGTGGACTTGGAGAAGGCATTCGACCGCGTCCCTCGGGAAGTCCTGTGGGGAGTACTCCGGGATTATAAGGTGCCGGGCTGCCTTATAAGGGCTGTTCGGTCCCTGTACAACCGGTGTCAGAGCTTGGCCCGCATTGCCGCCAGTAAGACGGACTCGTTCCTGGTGAGGGTTAGACTCCGCCAGGGCTGCCCTTTATCACTGATTCTGTTCATAACCTTTATGGACAGAATTTCTAGGCGCAGCCAGGGTGTTGAGGGTGTCCGGTTTGGTGACCTCAGGATTAGGTCTCTGCTTTTTGCAGATGATGTGGTTCTGTTGGCCTCATCAAACCGTGACCTTCAGCTCTCACTGGAGCAGTTCGCAGCCGAGTGTGAAGCGGCTGGAATGAAAATCAGCACCTCCAAATCCGAGACCATGGTCCTCAGCCGGAAAAGGGTGGAGTGCTCTCTCCTGGTCGTGGATGAGTTTAAGTATCTCGGGGTCTTGTTCACGAGTGAGGGAAGGATGGAGCGGGAGATCGACAGGCGGATCGGTGCGGCATCAGCAGTAATGCGGGCGCTGCATCGGTCTGTCGTGGTGAAGAAGGAGCTGAGCCAAAAGGCAAAGCTCTCGATTTACTAGTCGATCTACGTTCCTACCCTCACCTATGGTCATGAGCTGTGGGTAGTGACCGAAAGAATGAGTCCGCGAGTGCAAGCGGCCGAAATGAGTTTTCTCCGCAGGGTGGCTGGGCGTGGGTGAGGAGCTCAGTCATTCGGGAGAGACTCAGAGTAGAGCCACTGCTCCTCCGCATTGAGAGGAGCCGGATGAGGTGGCTCGGGCATCTGCTTAGGATGCCTCCTGGACGCCTCCCTGGTGAGGTGTTCCAGGCATGTCCCACTGGGAGGAGGCCCCGGGGAAGACCCAGGACACGCTGGAGGGACTATGTCTCTCGGTTAGCCTGGGAATGCCTCGGGATTCCCCCAGAGGAGCTGGAGGAAGTGGCCGGGGAGAGGGAAGTCTGGGTTTCCCTACTGAGACTGCTGCCCCCGCGACCCGACCTCGGATAAGCAGATGTTGATGGATGGATGGACGTTCATACCAAGATACCAAGTACCAATGTTTTGGAATAGTCAGTAACTAACAATTCATTGAGTGTACAAATAGTATGAAAAGAAAAGTAACATGTCTGTTCATTGATTATAATCCTATCTTATAATTTATCTGTATGGTACTAGAAAACAAAAACAAAGGATGATCCTTTGTCGATGAACCTGAGGGAAATAATTGAATCCTTTACTCTGGAGATCACCCACTCAGCCAATTAATATAGTATTAAATATCACTAGTGTCAGCGAGTTCCCTATGAAGCACTGACATATTACAACATCTGTATAGTACCAGAAAACAAAAAGAAAGGATGATATTCTCTGAGTATCTAAGATTTAAAGCCTGACCAACAAAATAATGATCCTTGATTCTTTACTTTCATCTACAGGCTTGTGGCTGAAACTTGACTGTGGACAGGACACAGCTCACAGTTTTCCACACCCCTCAGTTCCAGCTGGCAGAGTCAGTTTTCAAATAGCACTGCAGGGCAGCGTCTGTTCTCTGCCCTGATCTCACTGTGGCAGTGCAACACTCACACATTTACTTACTTCTTATTTTAAATTTAATTATTACTTAGAGAAATAATTCTAAAATTAATGCATTTAGTGTAAGAGAATTCTTTAGTGTAAAGATCACTTACCCGGGAAAAATATTCTGGGCTTTCCATGAATTCCTCAGTTCCAAAAATGTTGCATATTACCACCAAGATGGTGATTAATGACAGCTGTTGTATTACCATCTCTAGATCAAAACAGAAACAAATTGTTTTAGTTTTTTTTCAAAACTTGGTCACTTTGAAGTAAAATAAAATTATAATTCCCAGAACAGTTTTCTTTAGTACTGTTTTCTCATTATGTTTGATATTTTTTAGCAGTATTTGTTGTCCTCTTAATTCCTGTCCAGTAAGGAAGATAGGTGTTTATCTGTATGAATCTTTGCTCAAACATTTTCCCTGTGATCCTTGAATGATCAACATTTATCAAGGTATTTGTCTTGACATCTGCTTCCTGAATATTTCTTACACAACTGTTTTTTCTGTGTTCACTGAACAACAGGAAGCAGATGATACAGTGGATCAGTGTCATACCCTGTTCGCCCAATCCTCCTGTGTGCCATGCCCCCTCGTTAACCACATGTGGAATCCCCATGTTACCAGCTGTTTCTAGTCCTGTCTGATTAATTTTCTGTATTTCAGTCTGCATCTACATTCGTTTCCCTAGTCCTGTCATCGAAGTCACCGTTTTTGTGGCTCGCCTTGTTGTTTTCCCGAATAAACCCCTCATTCCACAATTACTCATCTCCCTGCTCCTGCTTCCCTGCTCCAAGTTGTGACAATCAGGAACTGGACTTTCAGCTAAAAATGTGGCAAAAAAGGTCATATGCATGCATAGGCTTATTTTATCTATCATGAAGGTGTGTTACATTAGTATATCAAGAAAACATACTTATGATAAAAATTCTTAATGTGTGAGTAATGTAAAATGTATCTGTCTGATATGTAATGAGGCAGATGGAATTATAGAAAAATTGAGCTTGAGTTCGCTTGACTTGTACATCTTAATATCTGTTATGTGATTAAAGTTAAATATGTATTGCCTTCAACAATCCACATTTTTTATATACAGATGTGGCACTTGATATACAATAAATGGACAAAAATATAGGGCCACCCATGTTAAGTACAGGAACAGGCCACATAAGCCACACCCATTCCTGACACGCCGGTGTATAATTAAGCACACAGCCATGCATTCTTCAGTGTCAAACAATGGCAGCAGAATGGTTGGTCATACAGAACAGGTTAGTCAACCTGGCACACTCACTGAACACCACTGGACACCTTTCCAATAAGTTGGATCTCTTAATTTCTGTCATATTAGAGTCAACTGCAAGTGAAGTGATTGTGAAGTGGAACCATCTGGGAGCAAGTTCAGCTGCGAAATGGTAGCCACATAAGCTTACGGAAAGGGACCTGATCACCCAACATCAGTACCAGAGTTGTAGTTCTCGAGATCCGGTCTTGGTCTCATGACCGCTCGATCTGATCTCGGCCTTGTCTCAGACTTGAGTCCATTTTGTGTTGATCTTGCCTTGGTCTTAGCTAAAAGTCTATAAATATTACAAAACGTATTATCTGAATCAATATGCGAATAATCTTTCCCCTCACTAAGCAGAAATTAATTTTCCTGTGTTGTCCTCTTGTAGCAGCTACTTAATGTACTCCATCTCCTAGCTGCCCTGGCGGTATAACACTGTTGGACAGCTTCAGAGGGCACAGGGATGGCTGGGAAACGATACTGAGCAAGGGGGCCCTTTAAAAATGAATGTGAAAGATGCTGGGAAGATTTTGATCGTCCATCTTTTTGTTGGTAGGTCTCACACTCAATTGGATTACTCCAACTCGACCACCTTGTGTTGTCCTATGCCTGCTTGTCATTGTGAGTTCATTTTGAATGGATATGTCTTCATCTGGGGAGCACTACCAATCAGAGTCATAGCCAGATATGAGTCACCGAGGTCCGGACCTCGGAAAAATTTTTAAAGAGCTAAAAATAAAATTTGAAGTGAAATATTTACTTTTTGATTAAAAAAAATCTGTAGTTGAAAATTTCTGCTGGTTAGGTACATTATTAATTCAATTTGAACGTGTTATTAATAGTGTCACGAGTCAGAGCGAGAGCTAGAGCATTCAGTATCAGCATGATAGAAGATGTGTGACTCGTGAACCACATGGGTGCACTGCACTGAAAGCAGTTCGAATTCGCGTTTAGTGCGAATGACCATGCCTCATTGTGAGGGAGGGTGGGCAGGCAGTACAGTGGTACCTCAGTTCTCAAACTCATTAGAACGCGAATTTCTTAAAAGTCGAACCAACCAGTTAGAAAAAAAAATCCCTAGTGCTCGATCTGAACCCGTGAACGCCGACCTAAGATAACTTGTACATGCGGGGAAATGAGTCACGCGGCATGTCTCAGCAGAAACAAAGCGTAACGCTTCAGTCTCAGCCTCGCATTCGCTGTGATAGCATCGTGCATGTTTACACTAACTGAATACATATATTTAGACAGTAAAAATACATTTAGACAATGATAGACAGTAACAGTAATTATTATATAATAAAATACATTTTAAAATAAAGTTTTCTTATTAATTATTTTAATATTAATAATAAACCATTAATACATTTAATTATAATAATAATGTCGTGCCGAGCGGGGACGGAACGGAGACAAAGGCGCAGACGTCAGGGTATCGGGGAATACGGGGTTTAATTACAGGTAAGGCAGGCAAAACGCAGACGGACAATACAATGACTGGACTGGGGAAACAAACTGAAACGTGGACTAAATATAGAGGACTAATGCCAACAACCAGAAACAGCTGATCACACACGGGGTTAACGAGGGGGCGTGGCACACGGAAGGAGCAGACGATCATTGTTTATTTTTAACTTTACACATTGTTTGGATACATTTAATTTTCTTACTTTACAAATTGCTGTTTTGATAAATGTGCTTAGATGTGTTTAGTACAGTATAGGCTCTTCTTGTTTTATCCGGTTCATTTTGTGTTTAAATGCTACAGAAAACATATTTAGGTGTAATTTTTTGGGACCGGGAACCAATTGATTGGTTTTCCATTATTTCATATGGGGAAAATTCGATCACAACTTTTTAGGATTCGATCTGGAGTTCTGAACGGATTAAGTCCAAATCAGGAAATGGAACTGGAGCTGGGATTGGGAAAAAAACTACGGGGAACAGAATTGGAGTTGAATTTGAATTTCAGGGAGATTTAAGTTCCAACTCCAGTTCCATTTCCTGATTTGGACTGGAATTGATCAATGCATTCTGGAATGGCCCCAACCCTGTTTCAAAGGATGAATTAATCCACAATTTCTTGAACTTTTTTCCTGGGTGTGTTTTATTTAGAGCAACTTAACAAACTTCTCAAACAACATTTGTATTATTCTCTGATAATTCGGTAGTATTCACTTTTAACATGCCGCACCACGATCAACCGTGTCTCTCTCCTTTTTTATAGTACTACTCACAAAGAAGAGCCCTACGTAAAACTTATATAGTATAAAGAGTAAGGGCGCCATCTATTGGCAACATTTAACACCCCCACTCGCTCTTGGCTCTGTAACTTCTATGGCATCTAAACAAATGAATAAAGTAAATTCTATTTTTTACTTTAATTATACAAATCACAGTATATGCATTTGAAATACCAAACATTTCTTTAACAAACACTTTTAACTTTATCTTTGTACATGGCTTTGTCATCACATCAGCAATCATTCGATCTGTAGGACAATAGTCCAAGATTAATTTTCCACTATTTACAGCTTCCCTGATGAAGTGGTACTTGATGTCGATGTGCTTGCAGCGCTGCCTGTTCACTGGGTTTCTGGCTAGTGCCACAGTACCCTGGTTGTCTTCATACACTTTTGTTTGTGCATAATGGTAACTGTCCATACCTCTCAGTAGCTGTTCCAAGTAAATACACTCTTCAATCCCTGATGCTAAGGCAATGTATTCTGCCTCACAAGTGGAAAACACTACTGTTGGTTGTTTCCTCGTTTTCCAGGTAATTAACTCTATGGAATGCACCAGGGGCCCATTGCATGAGGGCATTCCTCCTCTCTTTGGAATAATTACCTTATAATTTCAGATGCAAAAGTCACAGACACATGCCTGATACCTAAAATCAAAGCTGACCCCTTTACAATCAATTGTTGGAAGCTCAATAACCAAAATAAATAACTGTGTATAATTTATGGACAGGCGAATATAACAAAAACAGCTGGAAAAATACAAAAACCTGTCTTTGTGTCTTGGATTTTTGCAAATATTTTAAAGAAGTACATGATGGATTAGGTCCAATTTTAAAAATGTGGTTCCCTAACTTGTTTTCTACATGCGTGCCCAATTTCATGTCATTTGACATGAACAGGTTTTACGGAGGAAAGAACAAATGGTGCAACTGGGAGCCTTTCATATCCAAAACCTATCCAAAATGGCCACAGTGTAACTAGCAGTGTTTTTTGGGATAGCGTCTCTTTCTAAATGCATTAACACTTATGGGTCATAAGAAACATTTTGTCACACAACATCACCACACATTTGGAGGAAAATCTATATTCTATTCACACGACTTATGCCAAATATATCCAAGACCTATCCAAAACCTATCCAAACTGGCCACAGTGTAACTAGCAGTGTTTTTTGGGATAGCGTCTTTCTTTCTAAACGCATTACCACTTACGGGTCATAAGAAACATTTTGTTTCTAACCCTAACCCTAACTCCGCATAACTTTGCCCAAACAAAGCGCGACAAGTGCCCGGCATAATTTTGCCCAAACAAAGCCCGACAAATGCCCCGCATAACTTTGCCCAAAAAAAGCCGACAAGTACCGAACATAACTTTGCCTAAACAAAGCCGACAAGTGCCGTACATAACTTTGCCTAAACAAAGCCGACAAGTGCCGTACATAACTTTGTCTAAACAAAGCCGACAAGTGCCCCGCATAACTTTGCCCAAACAAAGCCCCGCATAACTTTGTCCAAGTAAAAGCCAAAAGCACTGCATTACTTTGCACACGCAAAGCTTGACAAAGGCGATGCGGGACTTTTCCCTATGTACCACAATACAATTGTTACCAAAGCAGATGTTAATTATAATTTGCTGAATCACGGAATTATAAAAATCTATAGAATAAAAGTGTAAACTGTAA